CCAGCCTCTACTTTTGAAAATGAAGACCATCATACATAAATACCTAAACTTTCTCGGTTTTCACCTACTTACTGCACTGGCCCACAGACCTTGCTTTCTTACAGGAAGAGATTCCCCTCCCCTTGGCCTCTTTCCACCTTCCTCTTAGGCCTGGTTTCTGCCAATATCCATTTCTGCATCTCTAATCCTCGGGCCATCAAATCCTTCAAATCCTATAAATAAGTTCCAGAATGCCTTTTTTTTTTAAAAAAAAAAAAAAAAAATCACTTCCTCTTAGCCAGCTTACTCTCTGATGAATTCATATCTTCCTCTCATTGCCAAAGCCTTCTGAAAAAAGTTACTTCACACGTGCATTTTTCTTATTTCCTCAGCCCACAATTCTTTCACTCTCACAGTTGATCCTAGGTTACAAAGCCAGGAGTTTCTTCTCCTTAGCCTGCCCTGGGTATGCGAGACACGCTATAGCCTTGAAACACTCAACTTGCAGCCTTCACTGTCTACTCCTTCCTACTTGTAAGCTATCTGCTATTTCTAGGTTTTTTTTTACTGACTTACTCATTAAGCAGCAGTATTTCTCAAGACTCTGATCTTTTCCTTTTCTCCATGTTTATGTTTGCTGAATTAAATGGACTCAACAATCTCATCCATACTGAAGACTTTAACTATTAACTGTGTCCTGCTGAACCTTGACATAAAAGCTATATTTTTACATTGTTCTCATGTCTCAAGGGTAACCCATAATTTCTATCATGAAACAATTCCTAGGCTCCTTGTATTGGCTGATAGCATTATCCCACTGCCGCATGTGGAACACGTCTCTGTCAACCTTGTTATACAAATTACCTAAGTCCATCTCAGTTCCTCCCTTTCTACAGCCACTGTTCTTGTCAACATCTGCACTTTCCTGGCTCTGAACAATTCTCACTGTCCCAAACTTACCTCTCTGTCTTTAGTTTGTTTCTTCTTATCAAGTACTGTCCCACAATGCAACCAAAATTTACTTTCTAAAACAAGATTTAACTCTATTAAAACTGTTAAAAACTGGGGTGGGGGTGGGGGGAATAAAACCCAAACAATAACAACCACCACCACCATCCCCAGGCTCCTCATAAGGTCTATAATCAACCAACATCCAGCTCGTAGTCTTATTTCTTGCCTACTCCTCTGTCCACATAACCTCTACTCTAGTCTCTATCTTGTAACATGCCCGGCTCATTCCAATCTCAGGACCTGTGTACGTTTCGTTCTACCTGGAGGGCTCTGCACCTTGGCACTTTCATGATTCAACATGCAGAACTCACCTCACAACTTATCTCAGGCCTGATCCCACAAATTCAGTAACCTCTCCTCAATGACATCTAAACACTACACCATTTGGCTTTGTCTTACTGCATGTCTTGTGGCCTGAAATTACTTTTATTTTTTATTATCAGTTTTCGCTGCCAGACTATAAGCTCCCCAAGATTATCTGTCCCCAAAATAATATTCAGGCTACTATAATTCTTGGCACAAAGCAGGTTCTCAATAACTATTTGCTCAAGGACAAATAAATGCCTATACTATCATCCCTGTGTCTATTTCACCTCTACCTACTGCTTTCCCCACACACCTGTCACCCCAAGTGTCCTGCAATCCTATTCATCAGTTGAGGCCTTGTTCAAATGCTCTCCTCCTCGATGGCTTTTCTAATCCTCTCATGCTTCTTCCTGTATTCTAAGCCTATTTTACTCCAGCGGGAGGGAGTCGGAGCCCTAGTTCTGCAAGATCTCTCACAATCAGCAACATGCTGTCTGAGTGCCGTATCTCATCACTTTGTGCTCTCTGACTGACACTAATTCCGACCACCTATCGTTAGACCAATGAAACCTGGGTTGGGAGAGTGGGTGTACTGTGGACAAACTTAGCCTCTCTTGGTTCAGTTTCCTTCACAACAGCAATGTCTAATTTCAGTCATTAGTTCACAGAATTTCTGTGACTACTACATGCAAAGGACAGCAGAGTCATTAAAACAGTACCTGCTACCCAGGACACATCTAGTCTCGGTTTTACTACTGTAACTACTAAAGGTACCTACCTTAGATTACCGTTATCTTGTAGAATCTGCATCAGGTTAAATTTAGGCTCTGGCTCCTGATTCTCAAGCTTGCAGCACTGTTCACCTTTACTATTCCACTCAGGAATGTCTATGGAATTTTCTTTGGGTGAATTTTCTCCCCCAACAGTCAGTGGGGGTGCATATTTGCCTTGGTTTTCTCCAGAAGACCCTGCAGACTCCTCCTGGGAAGCTTCCTGCTCTTCATCTTCATTGTCTAATGTTGCTTCTTCCTCCTCTTCACTGTCTGTCTCAGTTTTACCATTCATTTCAGCTGGTTGGGTAATCACTAAATGCGAAGAATCACTAATGTTGCTGAAAAAAGGATTAAAATTTCCTCTCTCCCAATACCTTCCTTTTATCTTTTTAAGTAAAAACCTAACTCCAAATCAAACAACAAACAAGGAAAATTAATAGCAATTACATGTTACTCTTTAATCTTAAAAAAACTATCAGTGATCTGCATTAGAGCTGATATTACTTATGACAATGACTCTCACAATTTAAGACAACCCCCCTACCAACTACCAAGAGAAAATTGTATCAAGTGTTACAGGTTTTTAGAAAAGCACCCTTTCTGGGGGTGCCAAAATCAGGGGAATAGGCTTCAACCCTCCATCAATTCATTGTTTTTCTCCACCATTGTCTTATAAGTTCTACAAGAAAAAAGACCGTATCATTGTTATGAAACCCAAATGAGTGCCAGGGAGATGGCTCAGTAGAGTAAGTGCTTGCCTGACAAGTGCAAGGGCCTGAGTTCAATCCCTGGTTCCTCCAAAAAAAAAAAAAAAACAAAAAAAACCCCAAAAAATCCATGGTAAAAAAAAAAAAAAAAAAAAAAAAAAAAAGAAACCCAAGCGACTAACAGGTTGACTGATGCAGGTGTTCTACAGGATGGAAGCAGGGGGAAGAAAGCAAGTCAGCTGATCACTTAAAAATGGACCCGGAAGAATCTTAAGAGAATTCCCCGTGTCTAAAATACACCACCCAGCACTTTCAAAGGATGACTGGACTTACACAGTCACCACAAGCCCCAACGGCAATGCTCAGCAGTCCATGGAACTTTGGCGAACCCTATTTCTGAAGATTTAGGTATCTGTACGGTGGCAGAATAAGAGCCTAGACGTGTATGCCTCAGCTATGCCTCAACACATGTTATGGGATGGAAAGTTCAAAAATTTATAATCCTGGGCTGGTGAGATGGCTCAGTGGTCTAAAGCACCTACTTAGAACAAGCTCAGCAAAGCACAGGGACTGCGGTTCAATCCCCCAGCACCACATGCCAGCCAGCCCCGCCCCCTGGTGGGCTGAGCTGGCCACACACACACACACACACACACACACACACACATAAATAAAAGATTTAAAAAAAAATTTATAATCCTTTCAACATTAAGTTTTAGAGAAAAAGACTTTTCATAACAAAAAAGGTGTGTTTGATTAGAAAAGTTCTGACTAATTAAATTCTGAGGAAGATGCTGGCTAACTCAGTCTGGCAGAGTGCTCACTACAAAGTTTGGTGAGCAGGTACCTGGATATTTTGGCCTCAGTGTCCTCAATCTGCTATTCCGTCGTCTACGTTTTCGGACCTCCAGAGACAGGAGTTTTCTCTCATAAAGGGCAGCATGCAGCTTGGCCTTTGAATTCATACTCTCGATCTTCAATTCTGGCATTCCATCAGTGGTCATTCTGGAAAAAACAAGATGGCAGCGACAGCTTGCAATTGAGTCCAGGGCTCAGCTTGACAAAATTCTGTAAGCACGAAGACTGGGTATGGCAACGCTGATAAATTTGAAAGCCTGGACTGACAAAGGAGAATGTGGGGATCTACAGTACTCACTAACGGCCTATCTGAATTTGTGACATGTTCTGAACAAAAAGTATCTGTAGACAATGCTTAAGTACCTACAACCATTTAATAATATTACTTATTAATTTACTGGCTGTACAGTATCACTACCTAATAAAAGAATATGTAACTGGAAGATATCAGTAACGTTTTAATTTTTAAGCTGCATGATGGTAAGAGGTGTTTATTTTATTGCTATTAATTATACTTTACTCAAAAATACTAAATTTTTTTTTTTTTTTGTATCGGGTATCGAACTCAGCACCTTGCACTTGCCAGGCAGGCGCTTAAGCCACTGAGCTATATCTTGGCTGTAATATTGTTTTGATGTATACAATAAACTGAGATCTGGCAGAGGGTACACTGAGGGGGAGACAGTGGATAATCTATTTATGAAGTACCAGGCTGAGACTTGCAGGGGAAGCATCTCCGTGAAGTTACCAAGACTGGGGTCTTAAGCATCCCAACAAGAGGACCTACCAAGGCTCTGGCCCTTATTTACATGTTAGTTGGCTTTTGGAGGAGGTACAAGTGGCAGAACACCTCCAGGTGTAGAGTCAGAAGTTAGTGTCAGAGGCACAGACAAGGGAAGGCAGGCACAGAGGACAAGATCAAACTCAGGTCATGGGTGAGAAGTGGGATGGGAAGAGGAGGCTGGTAAGGGCTATAGGAAGCACTCAAGTAAGAAAAGTCACAGACCAGCTGATCTACAGCAGTCCAGTCCAGAAAAGGCCTAACATGCAAAGACAACCAGGTCATGAAAGAGAAAGTGGGGTCTGGGTAATTAGGTCAGAAAGAGAAAGTGGGGTCTGGGTAATTAGGAGGACCTCAGTTAGCATCTGTGAGCATGTGGCTAACCGTGCACACTCGGAACTCAAGTGCTAACGTGGGACTGCTAACCCGGCTCTAGAACACAAAGCGTGGTCCTCGTGGAGTCAAGGCAGCATCCTGACTCCCCTGGGAGTTTTCAGCTTCTGAGCAAGATGGAAATGCCATGTCTTTTAGTCTGTTCAGGTCTTTTTTTCCTTCCTTTCTTAGTTTTTTGTTTTTTTGTTTTTTTTTAATATGGAACACTTCGCGAATTTGCGCATCATCGTTGTGCAGGGGCCACGCTAATCTTCTCTGTATTGTTCCAATTTTAGTTTGTGTGCTGCTGAAGCAGTGAGCATTCTTTTTTTAGTTTCTTGAGACAATGTCTCACTATGAAGTTCTGGCTGGCCTTGAACTCACTATGTAGCCCAAGCTGGCCTTGAACTCACAGTGATCCTTCTGCCTCAGCCTCTCAAGTGCTGGGATTACAGGTGTATACCACCACCCCCAGCCTGTTCAGGTCTTTCTGAGAGGGACTTTTGAGTGGACAAGGTGAACATACAGAATACTGTATATACTGGAGGTTTTCTCTTCAGAAAAAGATACTGAGCTAAGACCAGAGAGGATATTAACACTATGGAAGAAATGGAAAGCAAAATGGAAAGGACTTTCTTTTTTTTTTGAGTTGAGGTCTAAGTTGTTCAGGCAGGTTTCAAACTTCTTAGTTCAAGCAATCCTCCTGTCTCAGCCTTCCTAGTAACAGTGATTAGAGGAATGTACCAGGTACTCAGCTATTAATAAACTTTAAAAATAGTTGTAATCTATTTTTGTCATAGCCCTAAAGACTGAACCACACACACAGAGCTATGAAAATAGACATTTAGACTATTAAATAATATGAGAAAGAAAACATTTTATTTAACAATCATCCAAACCATTCATTTAATAATATCTAGTCAACCTAGTCAAATTTAAAAATCATATAAACAAACATAACATCTTTATCTTGATGCTCACAAACATTCCTCTTTCCAAAGCCATGCCTTTAAAAACTTAACATGATCTGAAACTAAGTTTAATGTTGTGGGTCATTCTAATCGAAGGGTGAAAGTGAACTAGGTCTCTAATATGAAAGCCCAGTGTTATGCTCATGAACCACGTCCATTATGTAAACAAAGGCCTCCCTGCCTATGTTGTCAAGAGCATGATTTCATTGGAAAGAGGTTTTTTTTGTTTTGTTTTGAAGGATATTATTACTCAAAAGCTGATAAAAGACTTCTGAAGGTATGAATCCTAAAAGCTCAGGTATCTGGAGATACTACTAAGAATTCCTTCCCTATAGGTATTTAAAGTGTCAACCGTGAGCTCAGAGACACAGATAAATCCTAAGTAGCATAGAAATGGGATGCTGGGAATCGGGAATGAGTTCTCAGAAGGCATGCACGGTGCTTCTCTTGCCCGTCACCGTGTCCATCACGCTCCGAGCCTGCCCAGCACACAGATGGCATGGCATAAACACGGCCTAGGGAACACTTCCATTATCTATGAATAACCTGTTAATTCCTTTTAGCTACATCTATTCCATGTTACTTTCCAACATTTTATTATGAAAATGTTTAAACAAAGAGAATGGTTTAGCAAATTTAAGTGAGCATCCATGTACTTAGCTACCAGCTTCCTACAGTGAACAATATTTACTGTACTTGTCTTTCTGCACACATACACATCCGATCCTCCTCTAGCAGTGCCTGCTTTGGCAGCACACATGCCAATCCTCCTCTGTCGGACCCAGGAGTCCATTTACTTTTTAAAGCACTTCTAAGTTGCAGACAAACATCAGTGCACTGTCTCCTTAAGGTCTGACACGCAAACCACTACTACTTAGAATCTATATTTTATTATAGACTTTGTAACCTAAAACTTACATATAGTGAAATATACAAGTGCTAACTGTACCTTTAGTGAATTTTAACAAATGAATACAATTGTATAGCTTAATTCTATTATTATCATCTTAGAAATTTCTCTTGTCCCTGCCCAGCCAATCTCTCCCTTAATACCTTAAATGCAAGCATTGCTCTGAAGTATTTGCCATTTAAGTTTTGAACAATTTAATACTTTATACAAATGAACTGTTCAGCGTGAACAGTTCTTGCATTCAGCATAATCTGCCCACCATGTGTCAGTATTCATCCTTTCTAATTGCATGATCTGAATGAAACACAACATTCAGAGAGATTATTCTTTTATTTTTGGACACCTAGGCTGTTTCAGAATATTATGAATAAAGTTACCGTGAACAAATCTAAACTATTTTGTGATTATGTTTTTTATTTTTTAATTTTTTGGGGGTAACAGTTTCAGAATGGAAATTGCTAGGTTTTCTCACAAATGGCCAGACTGGGTCTTAAGTCCTTATCTTAGTTTATAGTACTAATGCCAATTTACTATATGGACTACATGGTGAGACCTTGTCTCAAAAAATAAAAAATCAAATAAAACCCAACTTCTCAGGAGGCTGAGGCAGAAGGATTATAAATTCAGGGCCAATCTGGGCAATTGAGTGAGAACCTGCTTTAGGACACGAAAGTAAAAAGAGCTGTGTAGTTTAGGGGCAAAATGCCACTGAGTTTGATCTCTAATAGCCCCACTGCAAAGCTCAACAGTTTCTATAAAAAAAAATTTACTAGAACAATGATTATGATTATTCCTCCTTTATCTAACATCAGTAACATTTAACATATTTTATTACATTTCTTCCCAAGCACTTTATATTTTCCAAATGCTATTATAAATAAAATTTAAAATTTCATTTCCCAATTATGGACTTGCAATATATTAAAATACAACAGATTTTAGCAAATTGATCTTTTAAGATATTGGCATATGCAACTGTATGTTCTCAATGGTTACTTCGTGGATGTCACTTGACTATGTCAACTAAGAAGAAAGAGGAGATTTTTGTTCTTCTTTCCAATCTGTAGGCCTTTTAGCCCCCGCCATCTTATCAGGCTGTCTAGACTTTGAATACAATGTGAATAAAAGCACTAAGAATGGACACTTCACCTTATTAGGGAGAAATTCTTTCAACAGTTTACCAGATATGATGTCCCCCCCTTTTCTGTTCAGTACTGGGGACTGAACACTGGGAGGCTCACAAACTAGATAAGCCCCTACCACTGAGATACATCCCAGGGCCTTGCTTTTTATTATTTTGAGGCAGGGTCATACTAAGTTGCCGAGGTTGGCCCTAAAACTGCAATCCTCCTGCCTTAGGCTCCTCAATAGCTGAAATAACAAATGTGCTCTGCCATGCCTGGAACAGTGTTCAGAGTTTTCATATAAGACCTTTATCACATTGTTTCTGATAAGCTTGGAGTATTTTTCATAATCTTTTTATTTTGGGGGAGGACTGGGGATCGAACTCACGACCTTGTGCTTGCCAGGCAGGCACTGTGCTGCTGAGCTATATTCCTGGCCTTCACAATCTTTTGAATTTCATCAGCTATAATTTTTTCAGGGAGAAGTTATCTAATGAAATAATTGTTTAGTTTTTTTTTTTCCATACTAGTGTAAATTATATTGAGTACTTTTCAAATTGGGAAAAGAGCTTAATAGGCCCCTAGATTCAGTTCCCAGCAATGCCACTCCCCCCAAAAAACAACACTAAACCAACTTTGCATTGCTAGGGAAAAAAAATCTGTTGTATGTGTTATATTTTTCATATTCTGGCAGACTGACAGGTAGATTCATCATTCATTCTTTCTTTCATGTAGACAGATCTTGCTAATTTACTCAACTTCTTAGGCTGGGCTCAAGCTCCTGGGCTCAAGCAATCCTTGTGATTCAGCCTCCTGAGTACATGGGTCTACAAGAACATATTGTATCTAGCGTAACAGAAATTGTGTATCAAACCTCATAAAAGGTATTAGCTTCTGATTATCTTTTCAAAATGTCTATCAGATTTTTTAATAATCTGACTTTCTCACACTAGTCTCACAAAAAAGAGGAGGAAAGTATCCATTTTTGCATGTTTGAAGGAGTTTGTGTAAGATTGATGTTACTTTTCCTCACATGCCGGATAGAATCAGTTTCATATCAGTGAGTCTAGAGTTCTTTGTAGAAAGTTTTTTGAAATCAAATTCAATTTTCTAAAGAATGCTCTTCAAAATTTCTATCTCAGCTTTTGTCATTTTGGGTAAATATTCTCTCTCTCTCTCTCTCTCTCTCTCTCTCTCTCACACACACACACACACACACACACACACACACACAGAGAATTTAATCATTTCATCTAACCATCAAAGGAGCAGAAAGGGCTGTTAACATTAAGTAGCATTCTCCTACTTTCTGGGTGTTTTGTATCTGTTGAATCCCTAGTAATACCTTCCCTTCTCTATCTGAACTTGGTACAGTAGTTAGTGTTCTCTTCTTTTTCCTCAATTAATTTACTTGAAG